ACTAACCCTAATTCCATTTTGGCAGTATAATGGATGTGTTTGGAAAGGAGGGAGATTGCGGCTGGAGAAAGCTAAAGAGCATTATCTAGCTCGCTTGAAGAGAGAGTGGGAAGAGTCTTCTTCTACCTCTGATGACACCGTCGTACAAGCTCCGGATAACTCCACTCCACCTCCCACTCACCTTAACATCTTCGTTCCAAAACTCAGAAAGGTAATCAAAAGCTTATTCGATAGTGTGAGTTTAATACGATTTAGCACTGGGCTGAGGTATCTTCGTTTGGTGTAGGTGAAAGCTATGCCACTTAGTGGAACTGGCAAACATAAGTATAGTTTCCAGCGTGTTCCAGTGCCGTCTCTTCTTCCCAAGAGCTTTTGCGATTGCGAAGAGCACTCTACGTCTCTCACTCCTCGGGAAAACCATGTCCGTGATCTGGAAGCGCTTAGTGCTGGAATAAACGAAGAAGAGGTGAATATTATGAACTCGGTGATGAGCAAGCTCTTTGAGAAAAACAACCTTTCAAAGAGTGAGCAGGTCCCTGACCAGAAGCTAGCTGAGAAAAACGACCTTCCAAAGAGTGAGCAGGTCCCTGAGGATGAGGAGGACAGTGAGATTGAAGAAGACGAAGATAACCTCATCATCAATGTGGTATCTAATGGGAACGATATGATGAACTCAGAGCTGGATATCTTGTCAAGAAAACGGGTACTTGAAGTAAATATGTTTCCTGTTTTCCTTAACCTAATAATTTGTCATATGTTATCCCTGATCTGGCTGCTTTCTTTTATTTTTCCTGTAACTCAGAAATCAATTCTCAATGAAACAACAGCAAGTGGAGAAGGATATACTGAAGGACGAAAGGAGAGCCACATTCATCCAAGCAAAAAAAGGCAAACAGAGGGAAGTAGTGGAAGACAGGAATCTTCACAGGCCATACGTGAAAAGAAGAAACCTTCTGAAGTGGATCCTGATAAATCATCAGATGAACCAAGCAGAATGTCAGGTGTCAAGCGGTCGAATGACAATATTGCCTGGTCCCAAAAGTCTTCCTGGAAAGCACTTATGGCCAATGGGAACAGCGGTAATTTTAGCGTAACCAGTGTCTTGCCAGATGTTGGCTCCAGTGATGCTGTACAACATGCATCGAGCAATACTGATACAGCACAGCGAACTGCGAAAACTAAGATAAAGAAAACGAAAAGTAAGCGCCTAACTTCTACAATCATGGAAGGGAATTTGCCTGTGGTAGATGATATAGAGAGGAATGATGCTACAGCTACTGATGATGTAGGTTCAGACCACTCAGAAGATACTGGTACTGATACATGTGTGGAAGCTGAACCCCTAGAACCTGTATCAAGCACCGAGGGAGATAGTGAAAATGACAATTTGAATGTGGAAGAGGATGAGAATGTAGCAGAGGATTTCAATGCAGAAAAGGAAAGCTTAGTCTTGGAAGATAATGTTGGTCACGATGAAGTGGACAATGAAGAGACAAGGAAAGGACCGTTGGAAGCTTGTAGCAAATCAACAGGAGGTTCTTCATGGCTTCAGAGGGCATCATGGACTCAACTGGTTAGTGAAAGGGATACTTCATTCAGTTTAACTCAACTCTTCCCGGATTCAAGTTCTGACAAGTGTGAAGCAGCTGGAGCAGTCAACAATGCCGACGGCCAATATTCCAACTCTAACCAGAGTGAAAGCGGAATGAAACAAAGGGATTACACGTCTAGCTCGAATGGTGTTGAAGCTGCGGGAGTTCATGTGGATAGTACCCCTGTGAGAAGTTTAGAAGAGACAAGGCAGAGTCTGAAGGCTAAGAATGTGAGTGAAGGATCGAGATTGAGTGTGAAGAAGCCGATTAGGAGAGTTATTGGGTCAGGGGAGACTTGCACTTTTATGAGAAGCTCGACTTCTTTGAACGAGTGGAAAAAGGCTAAGCAGGCATTGAGTGAACCCAGAAGAAGGAATAAGGGTAAGGAGGAATTGAGTGAGCCCAGTAGTAGGAAAAAAAGGTGAAGAATAGTTCGATCATAATGGGGACTAGAAGTGCTTCGAATTATGCATTCCTCTGCAGTTTTTGTGCTTGATACAATGTTTTTATCTTTTAATTTTTTAAGTTATTCATGTACACTGCTCTATTGAAGCATTTTATGATGAACTGAAGTTTGACATTGAATGGAGATGTTTGTAAACAGATGAATCATGAATACAGAAAAGCTTGAGATATAATGTTTAACCAAGTTCTGTATGCTAACTGAAAATGGGGTGCATTGAAAGAAAAAGAAGAACCAATCCCTATCGATCTTTGAGTTCCTGCTCGAACTGGCCGAGTTTCAGGCGTATAGGCTCCATGAACTGCTTCATATCCAACCTAATCTGCTGCTTCAGTTGCTGGGAAAGCTCCTTGTCTTCACTGAGCTTCACATCAACCTGCTCATTAGACAAGGGTTGGTCTCAGTATATCACCATCTATATATTCTAACAATCTTTCCCTAATCATATCAGTCTCTCTACACATCTGTGTCTAAACTATAAACAAACAGAAGAAGCCGTTCATCTCAAGATTTTCCATAGCAACCTAAAAAATGTTACCTCGAGATCATCAAGCTCACCGAACGAGAACTCGGGAATGTCGAGGCTCCCCTTCACCTTCTTGGTGTTCTCTTCAAATGACCACTCTCCTGAGAAAATTGCCAAAACGAAAATAAGTGCTTTGCGTATGCACATAAGTTGTATTTATACGAATATCCCAAGTCATCAACTATAAAACTAATAAAGACTGCATTTCATGAGAATGGAGGAAAAAGGTCTATCCTGTTATCAACTAATGTCAAGTACTTTTTGCCATTAAAAGCTGAATCTTAAATATCTGAGATCCCAAGAGCAAAAGATAGAGAGACTTACCCTCGACTTTGAGGGAAAGCTCGTAAGTATAGCCAACTCTTTTCTTGTTCCGAACCGTGACTAAGAAAGCCTAGCGAGACAGAGTAAGAATGAATCATCAAAACGAGAACAATTACAGAGACTAATGCAATGATGAAAAGGAGAAAAAAACTCACATCTCCAACACATCTGTTAACATCTATAATCTCAGCTTTTCCAGAAGAGAATTGCAATGAACCAACTGAACCCAGCAGCTCCTGCAAGTACGATTTCAAGTACACAAGACATTAAACTTTGC